ACGTTCGGCTTGCTCCCGTACCAAGCTTCGAACGACGTCTTGCCTGTTAGGGCCTTGGTTGGAGCGCGGTTGAGGATGAACACTGCCGTGGTCACCGCCTCTCCCCAGAACTTTGCCGGAATCCCTTTGGCCTTCATCATGGATCGGGCCATGCCGACCACTGTCTGGTTCCGTCGCTCCACTACGCCATTCTGTTGTGGCGAGTACGGCGCGGTGTGATGTTGTCCCACACCCTGATCCGTGCAGTACGTAGCAAACTCCACCGAAGTGAATTCACCACCCCGATCAGTCCTCAGTACGAGGAGCTTCTTGCCGCTCTTGGCCTCCGCGCGCGTCTTGAACTTCTTGATCGCCACCGCCGCTTCGTCCTTGCTCGTTAGGAGTTGCAGCCACATGTAGCGACTGCAATCGTCCACGAGTAGGAGGAAGTAACGCCGACCACCGCATGTAGCAGGCGTGATCGGCCCCTGGAGGTCGCCGTGAACTAGCTCGAGAGCTTCCTTGCGCGATACTTGGCCGCCTTTAGGAAAGGTAGCCTCCTTTGCTTCCCGGCTAGGCAGCTGTCACATAGCTCGCCTCCGTGTTTGATGTGGGGTAGCCCTCGGACCATCTTCCCCAGCCGACCAAGCGCATCAAAGCTGAGATGTTCGAACCGGGCATGCCACATCCACGGTTCCTCGGAGTGCCTTGCCGCCAGGCAAACCGGCTGCTCTACCTTCAGGTCGAGTAGGTACAACCGGTTCAGGGACCTCTTCACCTTGGCGAGAAGTCACTGCTCCCGGTCTCTGATCCTCAGAACGCCGTCCTTGATCAGAACCTCGCTACCGCGCTCATCCAGCTGGCCAATGCTGATGATGCTGGAGCGCAGCTGCGGGATGTAGTATACATCCGTTAGCGCGTGGTGCTCCCCGTTCTGACATCTAAAGATGATGGTGTCGCGCCCTTGGATAGCCACCCTTGAGCCATCACCAAACTTCACCGTACCGGTAACATCGCCGTCGAGTTTGGAGAAGGAGTCCTTGGAGCCCGTTATGTGGTTACTGGCACCAGTGTCCATATACCACCGCTGCTCCTGGTCGACGCCCACACGCCCGAGATGGACTTGGGCACGTGGTTCGTCGAGGTTGACAGTCTTCAGGGTCTTGCTAGATCCTTCCACCGTTGTCGCCTCTTCCTTCTCCATGGCCTCGATGTCGTGCAGTGCACAGAACGTCGCCATAAGGATAGTGGCCTCATCCTCATCATCGGCTTTCGCCAGGTGAGCCTGAGCCTTCTTCTCCTTCTTGCAATTTGGGCACTCCCGTGCCAAATGGCCCATCTTCCCGCAACACCGACAAGCGTTGGAGTTGATTTGTTTCTTCTCCAAAGAAGCCCTGCCGCGGTGCTTGCCCTTGCCACCGCGACTGGAGGAGGCTGCCTTCCCGAGTTTCACCGAGCAGCCCACTCCTCTTCCGTCAGCAGGAGTTTCCCGCTGTCCTTCGTTGCTGTCGCCTGCCCCAGGCGCTCGTCCACTGCCCGCAGACGGCCTGCCACATCCTCAATGGTGAGGGTGGATAAGTCCAGCATCGTCTCTATGGAGAGAGCGATCTGGATGTACTTTGCTGGAACGGAGTGGAGGAACTTGGAGACCGCCTCCTCTTCGTCGATGGTGACACCATGGCTCTTCAGCTTGCTGATGAGCGTCTGCAGGCGGAGGGAAAAGTCCTCCACTATTTCACCATCCTTGAACTTGAGGTTTGCATACTCCTGCCTCAGAAGCTGGGCCGTCGCCTTCTTTGCGCGGTCGGAACCGACGTGCATCGCCGCAATGGCCTCCCACGCCTCCTTAGTTGAGCCTTTTGTCCCCAACGGTTCCCTGTACTCCGCCGGTACAGCAGCGAGGATAGCCTCCAACGCTGACATATCGTCTTCTTCCACATCGGTGCCCTTGTCAATAGCATTCCAGAGCCGTCGGGCTCTGAGCTTGACCTTCATGGTCACCGACCACTCTCCATAGTTAGTGCGAGTCAGCGTCGGCCAAGTGGTGCCGCTGACCTCCCGCACCGTGCGAACAACTACATCCGGTAGTGGCTGGGCAGCCACGACAGTGCCACTACCGTCGCCCAACTCCGAATCGCCTGTCATCGCCATCGGTTAGAATGACGACAGCGCTTGTACGGCTCCGATACCACTTGTTGGCCCACAGTTAGCCTCCCGACCACCGAGATGGCCTTCAGACCACTACAGATAGCCTCCAGACCACCGAGATGGCCTCCAGACCATTACAGATAGCCTCCAGACCACCCTTGGTCTCACAGGATCACCGGCTCACGTCAGTGAACCACTCTAGCCGATCTTGCCGTGCACCGGCTTAGACGAGTGGAGCACTTGACGGTCTCGTCGAGCACGCGCTAGTGTTGCCGAGCACCCACTAGCCGTGCAGACCACGTACCGGCGTTGTCCGTACCCACAGACTATGGACGGAGTTGTGAGAAGAAGGGAGAACAGAGCAAGCACGCACAATACAAGACAACAGCGTTGGTCGAGGCCCTGTCTGTGTGATGACAAATCTGAGCTCTCTTCACTGAGTTACCATACGTGTCTATTTATATAACTCTAACTATCTAGTCCATGTGCAGCGCCCATGCTGGCACAGTAACTAGATAACCTGATAGGGCTAACTCTGCGCCGGCCACTGCCTGTTGCTACAGTGCTGCAGGTGAGCCGTGCGGCGCCTGCACCTGCAGCGGCTACTGTATCACAGCAGGGGACAAAATCGACACTGCCTTCCTCTTGCTGTGTTCACACAAGGTGGCAGTAGATTAGCTAACGGCTCTCACCTAGTCCTAGCTGCTTCATTCTTCAGTTAGTCAGTCATTCATTCATTATATGCCCGCATTCAGAAACCTAGCAAAAGCAAAGGTCGTCTCTTCCAGAAGAGACTCAAGCAGGCAGGCAGGGTAGTACGTGATCGATCGATGTGGTTCTGATTCAGTTGTGCACATCTTTGTCAGGCGTAGGCTTTATTTTGTGATGAGTTGCACCTACTCTACTCTTTCCTTGCACATATAGCATAAGTAAGGTCACACTCACACCTGATGACCTGAAGCCAAGATCTGATCAGCAGCAGCATGGTTGAGTGATCACTGAGGATGTATGTATGTATGTATGGAAACATACGTGTTAACGGAACAAGACAAGGGAACAACTGAACGACCAGTGAAGGGGATTGTTCCACTCCTTTTTCTATCCTAGTATTAGTTAGGTCTGGAAGGCCACGCACTGCACCACCCCTTCCATGCAAAGTAGTCCATGCATGTGCCTTTTGCGGGCCGGGGATACCGTGCATTAATAATGTTTTGAACGCAAACCGTGTCCATTAATGTGATACTAGCTCTCCAAACACAACACTTGTGAAAAGGGACCAGGTCTCAGGTCCTCCTTGCTTGAACTTGTCAACCAAGTGTCCTCCCTTCCTGGGTTACTTCGGTCTCTCACCAGCTCACCTGCCCCAGTAGTGCCCAATGCTAGCTATAAGTTGCTTCCATGCTTTGGTTGCACCTCCTCATTTTGTCCTCAGACCTTCCCTTGTTGCCACTTGGGAGACTCTGCTATCACAGCTAAACTCTCTTCATATATATATATATGCGTACATACATATATAGCATATAGTAGGACTTTGCTTTGCTTCATGCTGTTGAGAACTTGCTCCAACTGTTAACCTACAAGGGTTGATCATATCTCCATATAGCTGGAGGATCAACCATATACATCGGATCGGAATTCTATCGATCAACAAAGCTCGTCATCGGCCTGCTCTATCTTCCTTGTTTTGTACAAGAGGCGATACCAAGGATTTGGTTCATCTGAGCTAGCTATAGCTTCTCTTGCTCTTGGTGCATCAAGATGAGAGGCTTTGCTTGCGCTCATCATGCAGAGAAACGCCACCGCTTGGACAGAACTTTGTGAGTTTTCCCTCCTCTCCTCTCCATTTTTTCTGTCGTGAATTCTCCCTGTGCTACTTCATCTTCTTGTTTCAAATGAACAATGAAGTGAGCACCATGCATGCTACTCATCTGAAAGTCGTCTTGGATTTTCTTCTAAGTTTAAGTTTCATTGCCCTCGTCAATCAACTTAATATATTTGTTTCCACGACGTTCCTTTCCACTCATCTTATTCTAATTGTTAGCGCCGTCTAAGTAGAAACACACATATGTTGGAAGCTTACTCGGTAATCCAACATCTGTTCTACAATCCAACATTACAAAGTCGGTCACTGGTAAATTGTCAAGAAAACCGATTTCACCAATCCTTGTGACTTTTGAGAGCACCAGTAACTTTCTTTTTTCTCGAATTTGTGCATCATTATCGCTAGAGTCACAGCAGAAAGTCAGACCTCCTAGTTTTCAGGTTCACGCACAAGTAACTTTCAGAGACGGTATAGGTGAACCACCCAAATCTTGTGCACAGTTAACATAACCTAGTTTTTCAAAGTTGCCTATGATAACCTGTTTTTCTAGTAGTTTTCTAGGCGAGCTAACCCAGACTAGTTAATAATTTTATAATAATACCGACGTACCGATGGAGTTACTTTCATGGTTGGTTCACCTGTTCTCTGACCAAGCAATTCATCCGGTGCAACAAACAATCCGATCGAGGGTGAATTGTTTGGGGTGAGGAAAAAGTCACAGCTACTGTTTGTGCACTGAACAAGTCTCTGCGTGCTTCTCTTGATGCCAATTGCCAAGTGACTGGAACAGGCGCTGAATAGAATATGCGCAGGACAAACAGAGGGTGACACACCCAAGATGCATGCTTCGAGATGAACGGCCTGTTCGCTGGGTCATATTTAGCTTATAAGCCATGGCTTATCTGCCAGCGAACAGTATTTTTTTCTCACATCAAATCAGTCAATAGTATTTTCAGCTATGATTTATAAGCCAAACCAGCACAAACGAACATGATGAAGTCGTCAGCGATAACGAAGGGGCGAGTCTAGACTCGACTCTACAGCAGGGACCATGGAGAACTGGAGATTACGGCAGTCAGCGAGAAGGATGAGAAATCGACGTGACGACAATGGAGCTGATGACGTTTGGCAGTTGATTATATGCGATGATCCTGGACCATTGGGGAGCATGGAGCTAACTGTTCTTGGTGACTTGCTGGAGTAGGTGAAGAGAGAATTCGTCCATGACTAACGACTTTCTCAGGTCTTGAGTTGGAAAAACCAAATGCAAATTGAAGAGGATCTGGATTTGGTCACTGCGAGCAGCGTACAGATCGAGGACCAAATGAAATGCATCGCAAGCTTTCCATTCACACTGTAATCAAAGTTCAAAAAAGCATGTTAACAAACAAAGCGGTAAAAAAAAACAGCTTGTTAACAGCTCGGTAAAGAAGCTACACTTTGTAACGACATCCCATTTTGGCTATATATATATATATACACACACACACACATATTGTTCAATTCATCTTTTGAGTTTTGACTGAGTTTGTTCGGTTTTCTTGCCACTAAATGTAATGTTAGTGACAGTAAATATAATGCGAATTTTGCTGTGTTGAATTGAATCCAGTAGCAGTTTGAGCAGGAAGGATTGCATCGGACGCTACTACGGCAAGGATGCCAAGTACAGGCCGTTCAGCGCGCTGCTGCCCGAAGGCTGGAGCGGCAAGGTGCTGTACGTGAAGCTCGTGCTCGTCCTCCTCATGTGCGGCTCCTTCATGGGCCTCCTCAACTCGCCGTCCATCCACCTCGCCGATGAACACCACCACACCACACAGTGAGCAAAAATCTTGTCACGTACTCTCGTCTTATCTGTGATCACTGACAATTGCAACTAAAAGATTTAAGCCTGATGACTGGAAAACTTCAGGCCGCCAGAGGCGTCGAAAGCCAGCTGGATGTCGCACCCCGACGCGGCGAACTCGGGGTACGCGTCGAGCCTGAGGATCGACTGGTCGCAGATCGAGACGGCGGCGAAGCACTTCGCTCCGGCAGGGGACGGTGGCGGCGGCACGCGGACGCGGGTGGCGCTGCTCAACTTCGACGACGGCGAGGTCGAGGAGTGGAAGGCGCGGATGCCGCACACGGACGCCGCTCCGGTGCACCTGGACCACGTCGGGAGCGACGTCACCTGGGAGCACCTGTACCCGGAGTGGATCGACGAGGAGGAGCTCTACGGCGCGCCGGCGTGCCCGGACCTGCCGGAGCCGACGGTGGCAACGGAGGAGGAGTCGTACAACGTCGTCGCGGTGAAGCTGCCGTGCGGGCCCGCGGCGAGCTGGTCCAAGGACGTGGCGCGGCTGCACCTGCAGCTGGCCGCGGCGCGTCTCGCCACGCGCGCGCGCCACGGCGGTGCTGCGGCGGCGCACGTGCTCGTGGTGAGCCGGTGCTTCCCGATGCCGAACCTGTTCAGGTGCCGGGACGAGGTGGCGCGCGACGGCAACGTGTGGCTGTACAGGCCGGACGTGAGCGAGCTCAGCCGGAAGCTGGAGCTCCCCGTGGGGTCCTGCAAGCTGGCCATGCCGTTCAGAGCGCTCGGCGAGCCGTACGTGTCGGCGGCGCCGCAGCGCGAGGCGTACGCGACGATCCTGCACTCGGAGCAGCTGTACGCGTGCGGCGCCATCACGGCGGCGCGGAGCATCCGGATGGCCGGGTCCGTGCGGGACATGGTGGCGCTGGTGGACGAGACGATCAGCGCGCGGCACCGCGGCGCGCTGGAGGCGGCCGGGTGGAAGGTGCGGACGATCCGGCGGATCCGGAACCCGCGGGCGTCGCCGGACGCGTACAACGAGTGGAACTACAGCAAGTTCTGGCTGTGGACGCTGACGGAGTACGAGCGGGTGATCTTCCTGGACGCCGACCTGCTGGTGCAGCGGCCCATGGAGCCGCTGTTCGCGATGCCCGAGGTGAGCGCCACGGGGAACCACGGCGCCTACTTCAACTCGGGCGTCATGGTGGTGGAGCCCTGCAACTGCACGTTCCGGCTGCTGGCGGACCACGTCGGCGACATCGAGTCGTACAACGGCGGTGACCAGGGGTACCTCAACGAGGTGTTCTCGTGGTGGCACCGCCTGCCGTCGCATGCCAACTACATGAAGCACTTCTGGGACGGGGACACGGCGGAGCACGCCGCCGCCAAGCGCCGCGTGCTGGCGGCCGACCCGCCCGTCGCCCTCGCCGTGCACTTCGTCGGCCTCAAGCCCTGGTTCTGCTTCCGGGACTACGACTGCAACTGGAACGTGCCGGCGCTGCGCCAGTTCGCCAGCGACGAGGCGCACGCCCGGTGGTGGAAGGTGCACGACGCCATGCCGCCGCGACTCCAGGGGTTCTGCCTGCTGGACGAGCGGCAGAAGGCGCTGCTGCGGTGGGACGTCGCGCGGGCGAGGGAGGCCAACTTCTCCGACGGACACTGGAGCGCCCGGATCGCCGACCCGCGCCGGAGCATCTGCGCCGGCGGCGACGCCGAGGCCTGCCGCGAGAGGGAGATCGCCGGCCGCCGGGTGGAAGGGAACCGGATCACCACGTCGTACGCCAAGCTAATTGACAATTTCTGAATTCTGACGGCAGCAGTAACATCATGTTCATCATCCAACGGCGCGTGCTCCGTGCTCGTGCTTTCCAATTTTGGTGCTATCCATCATCCACATCCATGGCCATCAGGATTGACCTGAGATGGTCGAGCGAGATGTCAGGGCTCTGTCTGTCTGTCACGTGGCAATATGCTCAGCAATCTTTTTGGACGACCCTCGTCTCATCACATGCATGCCAAGTGGATGGTTCATTGCGTCAAAAACCTCTTCGTATGATTTTGGTCTGTTTTGCTAACTTGAAACAGAGAGTGAATAGTCGATTCTCCGATGAAAGGCGTACTCAGCGAGCTCAACGCACCGCGCGCTTCGTTTTGGATCCACTGGCCACACCCAATACAAGTTGATCCGGGGCTCTGGGCTACGTGGGCGCCACTAGGCGTCTGAAACGCCGGCACTGGACAGCAGCCGCCGGTGGAGACAGAGACACGTCGGAAAGCGAGTTAACACTGCTTCTTGTACGGCTAAAAAGCACGGTGTTGTCCATCTAAAAAAAACACGGTTTTGTAAAATTAAACTCCATTTATCTTAATACAATGACACGGAAACGTAAAACTTTTATAAAAAAAGATGTTCGAAACAACTACTATCTAGTCGATCCGCACATTAGAATGACATGAACAATATCTGCTATAAGCGGACAGAGCTTCCTTAATGTCAAAGTGCCTAATCAAGCTCAAGACCCACAAATCACCCTCTCTCGTTCCTCACTCCCACATCCACATGTCTCGCCTGATAAGGGCTTCAGCATGTTTCCCCACCAAACCGCATTTTCACCCTTATTTCCTACCCCTACGATGCTCCCTTGCCTAGCAAGGAGCTTGCTCCCATATCCACGGTGATGCCTCTCCTCCGCCCCTTCCACCTCGCCGCCATCTCCCTAACCCTTCTTGTTCTCCTCTCCCACACCGCCACCACGAGGAGTTAGAGTTGCTCAAAGTCCACAACAATAGAAGAAATTGAAAATACTGATGCCAAACAAAGTAGATATGATTATTCAAAAACATACGATACATAAGAGCATCTCCAATACGAGTAGCTTCTAAAAAACAAGTGGTAAATCAATGATTTTTTCAAGTGTCTAAAAAACTTAGGAGCACATTTATTGTTTTCCTCCAATAATTTTCAAAATCTTACTCCTAAAATATAGAAGGAAATTTTACATAAGGAATTCTAGACTATTTCTAAATCACCTCAATCACTTTATACTTTCTTTCTCTCTTATACATTTATATTAGGAACCATATCCTTACTCTTATTCTTTTTCTCCGTCCTTTCATCTCTAGATTGGCTGATTGATATGTGCGCATATATTTCCTCACGGTCAGATCAATTTTTCCAAGTGCAAAAAAATTAGAAGTTGAGATTAGGAGTTGTTGGAGAGTGTTTTTTCTTTCAATATTGCCCAAACATCATGACTGGGAGTGGGTTTCGAAAACTATTGGAGATGCTCTAAGATACACCCATTAAGAAAAGCGGGTGAGGTGATTCCATGTTTCCATGCACGCATAAAAAAACTCGACCCGCGGTGGCTAGACAGCCCTCAGGTATTCCGGCTTAAGAAGAAGATCTTCTCATGCAAATCGAAAAAACTCCAGAACCCCTACCCACCCATACATACCGGTACCGCAGCTCTGTGAGATGAGCTGGTGTCGGGGACCAATACTAGGGTACCCGTAGAGGAGGAGCTAATGACCATCAACATTGACTCATCCGAGCAATCAAGAGCGCGACTACAGCTCCAACCGACCCCCTGGCGTGCAAGCTCCGCTTCGCCCGGCCTCTGGGAGAGGGACCGCCTCGCCCGACCTTTTAGGTCCGCGCTCCGCCTCACCCGACCCTTGGGTCTGCGCTTCGCCTCACCCGGCCTCTAGGGGAGGACTCTGCCTCACCCGACCCCGAGGCCGCGGGCTCCGCCTCGCCCCACCCTTGGGCCTGCGCTCCGCCTCAACTGACCCCAAGGCCACGGGCTCTGCCTCGCCCGACCTCTAGGGGAGGACTCCACCTCGCCCGACCCTTGGGTCTACGCTCCGCCTCGCCCGACCCCAAGGCCGCAGGCTCCGCCTCGCCCTACCCTTGGGTTTGCGCTCCGCCTCGCCTAGCTTCTGGGGGAGGACTCCGCCTCGCCCGACGGAGACCCATACCACCGCCAACCACTCCAGGTCCAAGCGTATGGGCCTGAGTCAAAGCTCTGACACCAGAGAAGAGACCGACATGCCCTGATGTAACCCATGGCCTTGACGGGCCATACCAGAGGATTCACATCAAGAACAGTGTCGGGTGTACCGGTGCTGTTCTACCTAACTCCCGTACGAATACTGACGGGTACGTCGGTTCACCATGACGTTCGCCAGGACGGAGTGGAGCGCCATGACCGGCATATGACGCCTGCGCCTGGCGCTAGTGATGGATAGGACCGCGATGCGAAGCCATCCCTGTTGACATATACAGGGTCGACGGACCCGCATGAAGGAGAAGAAGGACCTGGCGATCCTAAAGGCCTTCGGCTCTCTCTCACTCGTTCTTCTTTTTCCTCCGCTGTAACCCATGCTTTCCCTTGGCCTATAAAAGGGAAAGTAGGGCGTCATATAAGGGGCATCGAAACACATCACATCGATTTAGGCTAGATCCGATCGAACCATCATGAACCCATCTAACCCTGAACACACGACTGAGTAGCAACCGAGCTCTCTCAGCACCCGTTCACTCCTTTCACAAGAGACTTAGGACATGTCCCTCTCTCATCCATTTGTAACCCCTACTACGAACTTTCAGTGCTAGTAACATGAGCAGCAGCAACGAACTAGACGTAGGGACATTCTGCTCGAACCAGTATAAACCTAGTGTCCTCTAAGCACACCATCCGAGCCAGACACGTAATATTAGAAATTTACTTGTTGGTGGCAACTCGAAACACCGATAGTTGGCGCGCCAGGTAGGGGCCTTTTGCGTGTCTCGACATCCACACAAGGCCTCGGATGGCTAGTCGCAACGTCAGCTGGGTCCTGAGCGCGCATGTGCGCTTTGGGGACCTGGACTTCATCGTCACGACGGAAGGAGAGTTGGCGCAGGCTCCCACTGCCGTCCAACCTCTCCACTTGTCCGGCCTTGAAGCGATCACCGAGGCGCTTGAGGAGCTGTAGCTGCATGCACCGGAGGCCCGCGCCCTCGGGAGCGGCCAGCTCCACGGCTTCGACTACGGGAGGTTAGAACGCCAGCTCGGCGCCTTCCTAAGACCCTGACCGTCCAGGGAGGACCTACGCCACCTCACCTTCTCGTTCACCAACATCATGGCGCAGCTTGCCAGAGGAGAGCCCCTCTCCCTGGAATACCTCATTTGGAGCATCCCAACAACGCTCTCGTTCGGTCTCTGCAACGCTGTAGAGACCGTTGGCCACCTTGTGGCGCAAAGCGCGCCTCCATTCCCCACAAACGACGAGTTCATAGGGATGACCGAATATATTGTGGAGTCTTTCCATGACCTCCTCACGTAAGAAACGGAGTTGCCCTCCACCTCTGACTCTAGCAGGGGGAGCCATCACCTCTCTCGTGAATGTTTTATGGTAGGTACCCCTAAGGGACACGTCGAAAGCATCCACGAGGAGGAGGCTACCCCGACGAACGACCTCGACGACGAGGTCGAGGGGGATACAGGGGCTCCACCCTGCTTGCGGATGGAGCAGCTAAAGGCCCCACACCAAGAGCTCGAGGAAGCACTACTCCAGCTCGAGTAGGAACACGTGGAGCTCGATCGAGAGATCGAGCGCCACGGAGACTGTGGGCACGCAGGTGCCATGGCCCGCGATGTGAACCGGAGGATAATCGACGATGATGAAGCCCTCCCACACTTCGCTCGGGCAAGCTAGAACATCGCTGCTACGGCGGCCTTGTTCCGTGGGCTTCCGGGGCCTGCGACGCTCGGGGATCATCGGGCCCATCGCGAGATTCACACGCTACTCAAGCGTGTGGCGGCGCCGCAAGCTGAAAGCTCGTTGTCTCGATGACGCGAGCTCGACGCCAGCCAGTGCATACCCTCATAGCGACCCGACAAGGACGCATCAGTCCACTAGGTGCCGCAAGGCGGCAGGCTGTGCACCACGGTCCTGGTGCATGAACGTCTCGGCCACAACCGTGATGCGCGCGACACCCTCGACGCCCGCAGGCGTACCCATGGCGATGCGGGGAGGGAGCTAGCCACGGCTACCACCCTCGTCGTGGCAGACACTATGACAGCGTCGAGGACCGAAGCCCGCTCCCTGGCCTGCCGAGACCTCAGGCCTTCGGCCGACACATCCTCAACGCCGCCTTCCCGCCATGGTACCAACCACCAACCAACATCCCAAAATACTCTAGGGAAATGAACCCTGGACTATGGCTCAAGAATTATTGGCTTGCTTGCCAAGCTGGTGGAGCAGATAATGACGACTTCATTATCCATAACCTTCCATTGTTCCTGGCCGATTCGGCACGAACATGGTTGGAACACCTTCCGCCCAACAGAATCCAAAGTTGGGCAGACCTGAAAGAGATCTTCGTGGAAAACTTCCAGGGCACGTATAAGTGTTCTAGGAACCCATGGGATCTCAAAAACTGTCGACAGAAGGCTGGAGAAACCCTCTGTGGGTACATTCGGTGCTTCTCCTGGCAGTGCAACGAGCTGCCTAACATCGCCGACGCCGATGTTATAGGAGCTTTCCTATCTAGGACCACTTGCGAGTCCCTGGTTCACAAGCTGGGACGTAAGGGCCCATGAACCACCAAGGAGCTCCTCAACATTGCAACTAGCCATGCCTCAGGCGAGGAGGCGGTCAAAGCGATCTTCGACTGCCTCAAAGGCAAGGCAAAGCTGGACGAGGACGCCGATGAAGGCGCCTCCAACTGTCACATCAAGAAGAAGAACAAGCAGCGGCGCGAGGGCTCGCTCGTAGCCGCCACCGACCGCAAGGGGGGCCGAAAGCCTGCGGAGG